CAGTAAAATAAAATCCTATTGGCTGATATAAAATTCGTTTCTTAATAAAACGTACTTCATTGAAAGGTCGTCGTGCAGACAAGAATCCAGAAACACGAGGATATAAAAAGGAAAAAGAAAGGGGGGGAGTAAAATACTCACGTGAGAAAACGATTACGCATGCGTGCATTTTATCTCGAATCTCATCTATCTTTGGCTGTCGTCTTGCTTAAGCTCACCTATGAATATTTCAATCACGTGATATTTCGAACCTTCCTTTTGACATCATTTAATATCAACCACTAAGCATTTTATGCACATTGTAAAATATTCTTTATATATATTTAAAGTGTAGAAAGGTTTTAACTTTGTCTAAATAACGAGAAGGTAAACAGAATTTTCGATAAGCACTAATAGAATTTAGAGATAAACTAAAGTGCAGTATATATCAAAAATATAGACACGTCTATTTGAAAATTTTCATGTATTTTTAATCGCATGTCGTTGCGGACATAAAATAGATATGGGTATGAATTCCCAGTGATAAAATATGGTTTTGGTTTGTAAAATATCATGAAAATACTTTTATTTTAAATGCTTTAAATATTATTATTATACGAATGAATTAAGTAGTAACTCTTTGAATAGTTTAATGAAATGCTTCCATAGGAAAAAAAAACAAACGTCTTGTAAAATATATTAAGCATAAAGCTAAACTTTAATAAAATAATATAAATTCGTATTTATTAATATTGATTCCAAGAAATATATCATTGCATAATCAATATTTGATAGAGAAATTACGATAAGATCTATTTGAGCATGATGTAACGTTTTGCGCCTGTAAAGGATACTTCACTGCGCAGTTATGTGTTATGCCAGAAGCAGAACTCAAGGAGAAAGACGTGAAAATAGTGAAATTCGGATAGAAAATTATAAAAGAAATATTTAAATAAAATAAAATTAAATGTAAGTAAGCATAAATAAATTATATTAAAATGAATTTTTACGTATAACGTTTGTAAATGTCGAAATTTTCTTTCACCTGAGGAACATTTATTCACTACCCATCATTCCATTGTGTGTTTTACTGTTGGCAGACCACAGTCATGTTACTTAGCAACCACCGTGACCCGTTTGTTGTATAAATTTCCATAATAATTTCAACAACCGTTAAAACTTCTTTTAATGCCTATACAATATTTGTTTTCCAATATATTTTCTTATGAAAGCGCCTGACCTCTCTCTCGACAGGTAGCAATATGTCACTTCTTTCACTGTAAAAAAAAAAAAAAATAGTTCAACTCAACTTCCATCTNAAACCTATTTGTTTTCTTTTACTAAACGGATATTAAAATAATATTTAAATTATAATTTTTCTCCAATATGCATTTGATCTAAAACTATTTAAATAAAAGTTAATTCGTAACTTCTTTTACGAAATTTTTAATTTATATTTTGTAAATTGTTTACTTTATCATATTAAGTTAATTAAATACTTAAATGTTATCTAAAATCATATGAATTTATGTTAACAATAGGCTAAAGATGCTTACTGTAATTTATAAAATACTGTTTTCCTTCTTTTTATTTACTGTTAATTTAAGTTTGCTCATCTAAATCACTAATCTTATTCATTAAAGTTTTTAAACAAATTACAAGATAAATTGTTACCGACTATGAAAAATATTAACTTTTAATTGGATGAAATTCTTTTAAAAATCTAATTAATTTGAAATTGTAATTTTTAATCAAATTTTCTTTAATTATTTTTTATTAAAATGTTTGTGTGTATATATAAAATGAAAGAGTTTATTCTGAAAATATGCGAAGAAAACACCTCATTTCAATACACGTTTAACGAAAGCATATTTCCAACGTCGTAATTCCGCAGGAGAGATTCGATTACAAATTTATAGCTTGCCAGATTCCTTCATTCACGTCCTGAGATGTCATTACCACTCCTAGATGTTTCCATGACAACCAATCCGAAGACGTTTTGAATGGTTCATGAGTAGCGAACGATCTTGTTGCCTGCTGGGACATTGCTTAGTATCTCCAAGGATACTAACTTCGACAATGATATCGTGTTCTACTATACCTTTTAATAATCGTCCACTTAAAAATTTCTGAAAAATCACGAATTAGCTAAATTAAATGGATATAACTTTCATTTGCTTATAAATCTTTTAAAAAAAAAATGAAATACATTCGATTACATGCGATGGATAAGGAAAGTGTCCAAATTGACATTTTGATACAATCGATTTTTCTTTTTATATCAGGTAAAATTTCTATTTAATTAAACGCGATATTGACCTAATGTCAAATGTGTTATATTCTATCACTTTATTGAAAATTTTTCTTTGCTAAAACTATAAAAATACATTATTTCAAGGGGAGAATAAATTATCGATAGAAGCACTACAGCTTCCTTTGTAGTAGAAATTCATCCTTATCGTAGGAAATTCCGTCATATTCCGGAAATTTGTCAATCCGCCATGCTGAATGCTGAAGTGACGATAACGAGAGCAGTTTCCTGTCCAAGCTACTCTTCTTGTTTATTTTTTTCGTTTTGTGCCATTTATTTCCGTTGGAATTTCCGCATTCCGATAAAAGCTTGGAATTCAAAGAAGTCTTATTCCCAAAAATCTAAACACTAAATTAATTTACGCTCTTTATACACATAAATTCACAGTTAACTCATCCAGAAAGTAAGAAAGAAAAAAAATGAATGGGGGAAAAACATCCCCACTAAAGTAAATAATACAATTTTAATATCGGTTGAAGTGAATGCAAACACACTCAATCCGATTTATTCACCGAAAATAAACAAAAATATTGATAAACCTGTAATTCACTACTCAAACTGCCAAAAAATAAGTAGGTTAATTCGATAAACTTGAATAGATATGACAATAAATCCTTTTTAAAATATCGATCCTGTAATGTTATACTGTTATTCGTAACAAAAGAGTTTGTTTTTCTTTTTTTTCCAACTTATCTTTATTGAAAAATGTTTAAATTTCCAGATAGTTTTCCAGGGTGCATTGTCCCGTAAACATTCTGTTATTGATTTTTCTAATGCTCGTCGGTATAAAAATCAGAATAGAAACAGAGGTGTATATTGTTAATTACGACTTCAAAAGGCTGTCAAAGATAAACACTAGTAATCCAAACTTTGTATCTTCCACTCGGTATAGCGAAAAGCCACGTGGAAGATATGAAGTTTGTGTACTCAAACCGACTATTCTACAGTAACTGTCGTATGTACATTCAAGCTTAATTAATTAGAGAGGATTTTCGCACGAGATGTTTCGGCTCAGTGGGATTACGATTCACTATAGGGTTGGATAATGTCATTCACCTTTTACTCTTGAAAGTCTTACTGGATTGTCGTGTTCATCAAGCATGAGAATGCCATCGTTTAGATTCTGACGAAACGATATTTGTTACCTGTATAGCTTTAGGATTATAATTAGGTATTCGAGAAGAGTTAAGTGATTTTGAGTGAGAGAGAATTCATATATTAATAATATTTCGCGCAAATTATCGATGTAGAAGAAAAGATAGAGAAATTAATTCACTTACGATACTTTAAAATATTTTATTAAATAACTATTAAAGTAGATAAATAATTATGCGTAATTCTGGTAAATTGCTTTTAAAAGTACGTATTAAAATTTAATAAATGCGAATTGTTTAATTATAACTGAGCTCATATTTCGAATTCTCATAACTCTACCTAATTGAAAGGATTGAAACTTTATGTAATGGCACCCATAAGAGATGTTGTATATATGTGGCTGACTGATTTGCTATTCTGCACCCAAATGACCAGCAATAACAAGCAGAAACGTCTTGCTGTAACAAATTGTTGATTATATCAATGTTTTATTCTTAATGATCATTAGCCGAAAGGGAAAAAGATCTTAATAACATATTTAATTCTTATTACATTTATTTATTTTTTTATCTTACAAACAAGATTGATTTGCTATTTCAGATATTAAAAAATATATATATATATTAATGAATAATTCAAATGAATATCCTCTATTTATTTATTTATTTAAACGCAGTTAAAACTGAAAATAAATTAAAACAATCTTTTTAAATTAAATTTAAAATATTTTTATTCTTGAAATTGTATATATTTTATAAATTATCCTTTAAATTTTACATCTTACAATTTTGAATAGATTTCATGATTCTGTATTTTAAAATATGTACATTCATTTATAATTCAAGCTTTTAAAATGAGTATTTTGTACGTATAAATAATATATTTTATAAATTTGATAAATGGAAAAAAAATATGACAATAATCAGACTCAATAACAACTTCATAAAAATTTAGAAAATAAAAGTTACAAAAGAGAATTAAAATGACATTTACTTTTCCTAAATATAGAAATATTTAAGGTTTATAATTCAGTAATATTAACTGCAAGTTTTAAAATGGCAAAAACAAAGTTTTACTAGTCATTACGAGCTTATCGTTTATTTCCTGTTAGAGCAAAGCGGTAATTCTAGTATGAATTCTTGAAAGTCCTATTAAAATCGTAAATTCGTCAGTTAATGTTTAATCATTAAACTATACGACCATTCTGTTAAATTGATGCTTAAATGTATCAATTTTGAAAGTATTATTTCTCTTTCTCTTGAAGAAATTGCTATTTTTATTTAATAAATAAATATTTTTTAAAATATGTATAATCATGTAGAATTTATTATTAAATAACCGTGTACATATTATTCTTTAAACAACAGAACGTCTTGTGGTTGTGAGTTGACTATTGGAGTTAAGAAAAAATGGCGAGCAAGGACCAAATTACACCGAAACAGTCGGTCTGACGCCATGCACTGGAGTAGTTTAACCGCTGCCAGGACACCACGCCCACGACAGAGAAACATCCCCACTATCTGTACCCCACATTCGAGAGAATGGACGAGACCCGAGTATTGACCCGCAGCCCGCAAGCAACCCTGCGAAATCTCCTTGTGCACGACTACAAACGAGGAACAGTAGCTCACTCTCTGGAAGGCGAAAAACGATATACAAATAGAAAATTAACGTGGAAACACATAATTTCTATCGCAGTTGCAACGGGGTGGGCATGCTACGAGTCGTGAATCATTTCCAGATTTATTAACGGTATCAGACAGTTAAGTGTATTAAGGTTCGGTTGGACTTCTGATGCAAAGCAAGGCATTGTGTTTCTTCCTGTTTAAGGTAAGATTATTCTAGCATTAAGCTTATTAGTGTGTTTTTCTATTAATCATTAGAATAAGCGCTTTTCCAATAATAACCAGTCTGTTGTAGCTACGTGCGTGACAAAAGCAGACACAATATTGACTATATATGTTCATACTTCTCTTAGCTGTGTAAACTAAGTCTTAACATTAATATTGTATAGATGAACATTATTAAAATTATACTTGCAAATTTACTATTTGGCAAGTTGAAAATTATGTATAATGCGATATATATTATGCAAACATAATAAATTCTATTCCTATTATATTTAATATATTTTAATATAATTATTCACATTTATTCTTATGTAATGTTGTATTTATCAATAATTTTTAAACTATAATTATTTAAAGAAATTATTTTTTCTTAAACGACGTTAAAGATAAATCTATCACACGCGATAAATGAACTTTAAAATATATATATTTATTACACTAATTTACGAGAAATGAAATAAAATATTTCTTTACCTTTATTGTTATACTTCACTGCAGTATTACCTGTATGCGCAGTGAAGTATTATTTACAGGGGGGACAGTTATATAAATTAATACGATTTTAAATTGAAATATGGCAGCTGTTTTCGTCATTGGTGATAACTGATAGGGATTTTTGTTTTAACTAAGTAGATTCCAATACACCACAGTCAACATAGTCTTTATTTCAACATTACAGCCAAGTGAGCTGTTGACTTGCCAAAGATATCGACGTTCAAACTGTAAACAGCTGGCTAACGATACATACTGCAGACTGAGTACTGAGTTTCTCTAACAAATGATATTACAGACAATTCTCTGGGGCATGCATGCAACAATCTTATACAAGAGAATATGTCCAAGATTCAATGTCTGAATTTGTTTTTGTTCGTCGTAAACCTGAATTTCAATATTCCCTACTTTCTCTTTCTAAGAAACAACTTTCCTTTCTTTAAAATTAGATTTGTTTATTTATATGCAAGTGTGTCTAGAGATAAATATATACATATGTAAAAATTAAATTTAATGCTATAAAAATACATTCAAAGTAATATGATTTCAAATTATAATTTACTTAAAAGACGATGTTATTTTAATAATTAAATATTTGAGTATATTTATTTGATTAATTTTATGAAAAGATATTTAATTTTTTATAAGATAAAAGAAAATTTTATATTCTCCTATTACAATATTCTTTAAAATTGAAACATTGTATTTCTATTTTTAGATTATATATAATAAATATTAAAATTTAAATATTTAAAAACACTTAACTTAAAACATGAATTATGTAAAATGTTTTTAAAGTAATTTATTTATTTTTTTTTTAGTGTTTATCTATAATATTTTTTCTTATAAAATTAGCTTATTATATTTGTAATAAAATATTTGAAACCAATTATATCTGGAAACAATCTTATTTATCGTTCAATTTAGAGTTTGGCTTGTAGCCAAAATATTTTCGAAATTTATTGAATTGTTTCACTTATAAAACATTTATTCTTTTAAAAAAAGAGTAAATTTAGTATTAAAAATACATAACTTATAATCTTTTAAATAACATCCACAAAAGGTAAATGTATTAAATACATTTAAAAAATTTAAAAACAGTATATGAACATACATATCTGCAGATTTGTATTTAAAAATATTTATTTTAATTTAAAAAAAAATCGTTATTTAATATTTGTATAACATTAAAAAAAAATTTTGTAATTTAATTTTTGATTGATTGATTAAAGAAAATGAAACTAAAATATAAAATCCGATACACTCGAATGATTAATTTGATTACTAAAAAATACACATGTATATTGATAGATAAAGGTAAAGAGATATTTATAAATAAAATAAAATAAAAAATTGAACTCTTTCCTATTTTCTTCGTTAAAGATAGAATTGATTCAGTTTACAAGAATATTTTTCTGGTGTAAACATATATTTTTCTCTGTTTTTTTTTTATGGTTTGAAATAAACAGAATTTATATAAGCGTTTATTAAATATATTATTAAAATTTTTGGAATGTATTAAAATTTTATCTTTCTGCATAGAGCATATACTAGAAACTGTAAATGTGGTAGTATTCCATCCTTTAATCCCACGGATGAGACAATCAATAGACTGAGCCATTGTCAACACAATTACATCAATCATAAATTTTGTTGTATTTTCCTGACGTGAACTATGTTTTAACATTGACATAAAAATCATAGTGCTGTAAACTGATAAATTGTGCTTTTTCCTTCAATCGCATTTTCAGATACAAAGTTATATTTTATCCTATAACGAATTTTACTTTTCTTCGTTTTACTCAATATTCCATTCTATATATATATCTTCAATATCTATAATAATATAATAAAACTATGTTATATTTTATTACATTAAAATTGACTTATCCTTTTTCTCGGCAAAGTTTTCCTCTTTTTAGAATATCGGCTTTCAATTTGATCTAAATTATTTATCGAACCAGAAAAAAAAAAAATAATAATAAAGGAAAAAAAATTGAATTTTGTTCATTTATCGCAATAATCCATATTTTCCAAAGAAACCTTTTGTTCATTATGTTACATCCCGTGAGAATTTATATAGTAGATATATATACACAACGAAAACTCGATCGTTTATTCTTATCAGTACAAACTTAATTGCGATCGATAAACTAGATCGCAATATAAGTTGTTTTTCTATCTAATGTTTCTTCCCATTAGAGTATCCATCTTTACAATGTTATCACAGATTTATATCTTCTAAAATAGCTTCAATCGACTTTCTACCCTTTCTTTAATAGATCCTGATAGTTCAGAAATAATTTTCTTAGGTTATAAACTGATATAACCATCTTATAGATTGATAACAGGATGTTGCTAGTGTAAAGAAAAGAGAATTTATTTTTTTTTTAAAGTTGCTAAAGTTATAATTGAAGAGTTTGGAACAAGTACAAACTGTACTTAAGAGAAGCAAATATCTGATATATGAAGTATTGTACGTCTCACTCTCGAGAAAATGTTGGCATCAACACTTATTTCTGATGGACTTGTCTCGTTACTTGCCATGGTATAGCAAGACTTCATTAGTCAAAGCCATAAAGACTATTTGGACGTAACACATTACTGACCAGAAGTTTGGCTTGACGATATTTCATTCTTTTCTTTCTTATAACTACTACCTTTTAATATTAGTGACTGTCACTGACGAATTATTTATGTTATATATTTTATCTTAACTTCATTTAATTTTTCTTATCTAAAGAAACAAAAATATATTAATTATCTTAACACGTTGACAGGTGAAAAATTTCAAATTCTTTTTCTATTTTCGTCCCAATTAAAATTTCTATAACAGATTCAAGTTTACTGAATCTATATCCTTAAACTCTAAATGCTTAATTAATAATATTTAATTAACTCATTAAAAATCTTAGTAATCTAGATAATTATTATTAATTAATAGACTGATAATTAAATCAGATAATTATCATTAATAAACTTTGCTAATACGGTGAGGATATTTTGGAAAATATTAAATACAACTCCCGTTAAGACCTAAGGTTATTAATTAGAAAATTGAAAGAGAAATTTTATTATAAAATTTTTAATTAATATATTTTAAGTTACATTTTATTAATAAAGTAAAATGTAAGAAAAATCAATGAAAAATTCATACCGAATCAGAATAGATAGCTTTACATTTCTCATATTAATACATTTGTTTTGATATTGAAAATGTTAAGATGATAGATTAATAGTCAACGTCGATACTTATCATTTGTCTATTTTTAAATATATTTATTAAAATTTTTTATCAATTTGTTTAAATATTCTTTATAAAAATCTCTAATATACATATACATATATTACAATTTTAAAGTATAATTGATTAAGCTTATTATGATTAAATTTTTTAGAATTTTTTAAATTATTTATTAACTTCCATATAAAGTTTTAATCCAAAATATATGAAGACAGTTTCTTATAATATTTAGTACAAAATAGCCAGCTTAAAAAGCATCAGTATGACCACACCTAAGGATAAAGTACAATGCCCCATTTATCCAAGAATAAATTATCAGATAAAACCTAATAATTATGTTATTAAAATTTCGGCTTTTTCCAGATTTATAATTTACTATGAAAGATTAAAACTGTTATTAAAACGACATTGCTGACAAGTCAGATCACATAAGCTAATTTTTTTTGTTTCCACAATTATTTTATTTATATAGAAATGGTGTATAGTAAATTAATTCTGCAATGTATCAACTTAATTTACATGATTAATGTCTTTATGATTGTTATCAGTTGCTTCATTACCTTATGCCCTTAATTCGTCACTAATTTAGTACTTTTATCTTCATCGTAAACAACTGTTACCCATTGGATTCATCATAAACGTTACATCCAGTTAATTCGTTTTTATCATTTTGCTAATTTATAAAGTGTTAAATGATGCATCTTATTTTCTTCGGTGTACTATTTTTTCGGTATTCTTAATGAGGTAAACTTTAGGAAAAGAAAAAAAAATGCTTATTTACTTTTTCATTAAGTTTCTCTATATTAAGAACCTTTTTTTTTTATTATTTTTTAATACAAAACGTTGAGTAGAAACAGTTACGGAAAAGTCACACCTGGATATTGGTCTCGAATTCTTTCATTCGTTTGAAGAAATCTTTTAGAATAAACAAATAACAAAACATTGGTTTCTATTCTAATAAAGAAGAAGAAAAAGGGACGATCAGTGTTTCTGTTTCCTTAATCTGGAAGACAAAAAATTACAGCTAATTCGATTACTTACATCGATCGTCCTGGGAGGGCGTCAGAAGATTTCAAATTAAATTTCCCAAACGACGATAAAATGTTCAGTCCCTTCTTCAGATTAGGGAATTGCGCCGTAAAATTACAACTTGTCTGCTCTTCTGATCTTGCATCCCTCCTTTTTTTTTCCTCTATTTTCTTCCTCCTTTTATTCCTTCAAGTTCTGTAGATGAAAAGCTGTTT